CAATTCGTAAACAACTACTCATTCGTAGAGGTTTTCCAAGTGAGATCGGTATTTTCGCGTGGATAAGATCTTTCCCAGAAGAACATATGCAAATTCGAATAGGTTTTTGGAATTTTTATGGCTTGGTAGTTGCCGTAAGGACAATAAACATAGTGGGCTACATCTCTGTGCAAAAATATTCTCAAATGATCAGGTAAAATCTTGAAAAATTGACCGTTTACACAGCAAATGCTTTTTGGCGCTATTTTCCTACAGTAGTAGACTTTTCGTTACTTTTTTAGGCTAACGTCCATGGCTTGCACATTAGCTTGTCAAATATATCCTTAACTCTGCAAAAAGTAGTACTGCGGTCCCAAATTTGCTGGCCAGAAGTTAAGTGGATCCGTTTGACGCGCAATTTTCAATGGAATCACTCAACGGATCCGCTCATGCTTTTGAGTGAACTTTCATGCTGATAGCGTGCGCTATGCAAAATTTGGGCTCAGGACGTTGGCTGGAATACGCTCTACGAATTTCGTGACAGACAGAGATTCACACACACAGAAAGACAGACAGACAGACAGACAGACAGACAAACGTAAACAACCCTTAGCCCGTTATTATAAGTTATGATGTTTAACACTATTCGATTTGTTTCAAAACGAATTTCCTTCAAGAGCAGGATAGGGTAGTTCAGATAATGGCATGTCTCTGCGAAGAGGTGACGCAATATAATACAAATGCACACTAACGGGTATCAACTTGTAACTTTGAGAAATATTTGGGATTTTTTTAAGGTTCAATGATGATTTTTTGAGAACCGTATACATTAAGATCCCTACCGGGAGGGGATCGCAGCCTCAACAGAAGGCTTCATATCCTGAAACCCCAGAAATCTGGATTTTACGCCGTATAATCTATCACGTATTCTCCCCACCCTTCACTATGAACATTTTGAACATGGGCAAGAAGCTGTACAACCGGCACTATCCAGCTTTTGGCGTGATCCCCGGGGCCGACCGTCTTTTCTCTAAAGTTATTTTCTTTTGTCGAAGTTAACGAAAACTTTCCAAAGTGCTACTGTTCGTCTAACCCAACAGTGTTAAGCATGTTGCTGATAAGAGCAAAGGAGTTGTTGAAATATCGAATTTATCGATAAACCCCAACTTTCGACTTGTGGTTCATCACAAATTTCATGACTCCGAAACCTGACTTGTTTTTGTGATCTGCTGGGTTACATGATTGATATTTGGGAACTTTTCGTTAGCTTCGAAGAAAGAAAATGACTCCAAAGAAAAACGGTTGGCCGCGGCGCATCATCAGGGGACCACTCAAAAGGCTGGAGTATGCGACTTGTATTCTCGTTTCTGTTCAATATGTTCATAGCGAAGGATGGTGGGAATACTTACGTATAGATAGACAGCGTGAAATCCAGATATCTGGAGCTTCAGAATAAAAAGCTTTCTTTTGAACTGCGACCCCTCCCCGGCGGGGATGTTAATGTATGCGGCCCTAAGTCAGAAAAGACAAAGTAAATCGCACGCGAAAGACAATTAGTTCTTAGAAATTCATGAAGATCTTGTTTTAGTCTAGAGTCCCTAGCCCGCCAGACCTTGTTGAAAGAGTGGGTTGAAACAGTAAAATGCCAAATATTGGAAATTGTTCATATTGGTCTAGAAATACCCTTGGTATACAATCAGGGCTCGGCACGAGGTGGCTTACAAGCAAGCTGGATATCGTTTTTGGGACGAAAAGCAAAGGCGGTTTCGTTTTTGTGACCGAAGAGACACAGAAAATTGGCGACGGCGGCCTTTTTTTTAGTCGACGTTTCGTTTTGTGGGGGATTTTGGGGAATTTTTCAGGTTTTTAGAGGAAATTTGGTTGAGGGTCAAAGGGGACTTCGTAAAAATTCCCAAAAGCCAAGGGGGACTTCGTTTTTTCCATTTTCATCTAGCCACCTCGTGCCGAGCCCTGTATACAATATCGTCACTAGTTTGAAAAATCCATCTGCTAGACAGGAAGAAGCTATGGAAATACATTTGTAACTTTCGAAACGCGTAAGAAGATTTATATGCATGCACCTCTGCTGCAAGTTACCGGCCCGAAATTTCTAATTTATTGACGATTCCGGTGAGATTCGCTTCACAAATATATCGATAGTGTTTCCTCGCTTCAAAAAAAAACAAGCACCATATTTATTACGATGATATATTAGGTTGTCCCGAAAGTTTTGTCGGTTTTTTGAAACAACTGTAAAACTATGCACAATGAAGACCTGAGTGAGTTTCAATATGCATTCGATGCCGCTTTTTCTCCTCTTTCTTACGGTTACATTTTTGAGCAGCAGTCTTGAAAGCTTTTTTTGATAATTGCCAAAATTCTCCACCCATCATTTTTACCTGCTCAAAGTTAGGCTAATTTTTAAAAATTTCATTCCAAAGTTTTGAAAAGGCTTAAGGGTATGACAAATAGAGCAATTCTCGGACTACAAAGTAATATTTTTAGCCTTTCCAAATCTGCTGTTTTAGCTTCAAAAAAATATTTTTCCAGAGGTCTCGATTTTTGGCAAAGTCATGAAACACGCAACTACGTCAAATACACGAAAACTTTTAAAGTTTCTGCGAATTGAAACATGATTCTTACTAAACATTGTTTATGCAACGTAACAAGTTTGATTCGCTTTGAAAAAGCAGCATTTTGGGATTTCTGGTATTTTTACGTCTTAAAGTTGATCAAAAAGCCGCAGTTTTTATTGAATAAATAATTACAACGGACTTGGTAAACGTAGCCCATGTAATCTAAGATTAGTACAATGTAGCCAAAGGTTTGCTCTACATAATAGTTACCAGCGCTCTTTGGAAACTTTATAACGAGAAATTCTAAAATTCAGGAAAGATTTGGCGTTACTGCTGAGCTGTTCAAAAAGCCATGGCGATAACTCTGCAAAGACTGGGTAGATCAGAAAGCAAGTATAACTGTAAAAAAGAGGATAAAAATCTGAATTAAATGGTTCCTATGCCGTCCATGGACTAGTGTTCTGTGAGTTTTCGTGAGCGATGAAATAAACCGACGAAACTTTCGGGACAACCTAATAGTAAACAGCTCGCTTTTTTATAACCTCATTTCAGCTAACAACTGAACATAAATCCAGATTTAATTCTGATAAAGTGTGATCACTAATTTCTCGTGCAAGAGAGTAAAAAATGACAATTCAGCGGTCTCTACAAAAAGTTGACGATGACTCTGGGTGGTTGCAGACATGAAATGATGACCCAACAAAGTGCCTAATTCATTCGCAAAGCTTTTTCAACAATAGGATGCTAATCGAATTTGCGCGCAAGATCTTAACTTAAAACTCTGGATATCGTTTCATACCTTGATCTGCGTCGGAGCATTTTGACGATAAAAATCAGCTCATTAGCTTATTCAAGGCAGAAAAAAGTTGATATTCTCAAGCGATGAAGGAGATGTTGTGTGAAAAGCGAGGATTTTGAGGAAGTGCTTGGGAAGTTTTGCAATTGGGAAGGGTCTTGGCATTAATGCTCAAACAGCGGCATCATTGACTGGGTTTGCAAGGAGCGTAGCGAAAATGGTGCGCACGATTATTTGTAGGCGTTGCGGTTTTTTCGGCATGCTGATTGCAAGCATAGTGAAGGCGATCAACCATATAGAAGTGGAACAGGGGCAGAGAAATGCTGTATAGAAATGAGAAATGCCAATCTTTATCCTAGTCTATTGAGAAGGCTGATTGGAGCCGGTACGCCAGCTAGCTTTTGTACGAGCTCAAATTACTAAACTAAAAGAATTTGAAAAAACGTTTATAAGCATAGTCTGTGCCAAATGAGATCAATCGGCCGCCGTCGGAGAAGGCGAATAAAATGTTCGGAAACGAAGAAATCTTGCATTCGAGTGAGGAGTTTCTGATAAAGTCGTAGATAACAAGGTCAGCGGCAAGCACATCCGCGGTATGAAAGCATCATTGCTAGCTGTGCTCCATACCAAATCTAGATTTATACGGTATACAATTAACCATGCTCCTCCGAGCTTATTTGGGTAAAGGGAGGACTCCCAGCCGCGCAGCTGAAACTTCGCAAAAAATCGATAAAATCGATAAAAATGGCGGGTAATTTCAAAAACTAATATTGTATTCGTAAGCAGCAGGCTCGATTACCCCCCCCCCCTGTGCCAAATCCCAGCCCCGTAGGTGAATTCTGCAGATAAAATCGATTTTGATCGATAAAGAAAAGTAGCCTGCGACACCCGCCCGGCCCCGAAGTGCATGTGTGCCAAGTTTGGTCCCGATCGGTTCAGAAATGGAATTTTCTAGTCAGAACATACGTACATACAGACAGACATAGAGACATACATACGAACAGACATTCAGCTTTATATGCGAGATACAGACAGACATACAGACATACAGCTTTATATATAAGATGAAACCCGTATCTTCAAATGATTATTAGTGCCGCATTTGAATTTAGTGCTCAACGAATGGCATACAATTTGTTTCAGCCGTATGTAGGCCGAAGCACTCTAAATGAGCTGCGCGTCCGCTGGATCGCTATCGCATAGCGTTAGCATTTTTCTCATAATAATAGTCGAAGAAAGTGAGGACCGCATCCATGGATTCCTACAATATGGTCTACTGCAGTTGCGATACGGCGCCAACTTTCATGAAGTAGACGCTCGATATTCCAATTTTCTTCTAAACTGAATTAGAACAAGTTGTGCAAAAATTGAAATTGGCAATTTGACTATTGTTAGCAGGGTGATTGACTATCAAACGTATTCTATCTATTTACCATACCTCTTCAAAGATGCAGGTTTGGATTACCTAGCATATCGCGGCTATTTATGTAACCTCTAAAAAAGCTCTGTAAAATTTCTTTTCAACATGTGGCACTCATAGGTTATACATTGCACACTTTTGGCATGGACATTTTAGCATAAAATATCTTTTTGATGTGTTTGAAAGCTACATTGCAAGCGCTGAAAAGTAAGAAGTTCAAGTTCTTATTCGAAGCTGATTTGAACCCCATGGCGAAGCAGTACAGTCAGAAAATACAAAAACGTATATAGCCTTATGGGACATGTCATGGAGTAAATAACGAGTATATGGTATTCCACCATTGCTTAAATAGTGCAAGGTGAATTACGGCACGTAATGAGATACAACATAATAGCGGTGTAGAGATACACAGGAAGATATCAACTTGAAATCACGGTATTGGTAGATATTCCATGATCAAGTGACGTAAATGCTGACATTCCCATTTGGCACTGTCAGCGAGACTGCGAAGCTGGGATGGAACTTGGCAGCGACATCGAGAACCTTCTACAGCCAAATTCTGCAAATGCGAACGTGAAGCTATGCGTAAATCCTACCTCAAAATGAAGCAACAAACCTTAATGTTTCTGACAGCTTCGGCGAGTTGCAATGACAATTTTAAATCCACCAACATACAGAGCATGTCGGAAAGAAAATCGGGCTCGAAAAAGTTTTGGCGACTTAGATGCCATACAACGGCCTAAACCTCAGTTTTAGTATGAATCAGTGCACAGAATCTACGGTAGCATTTGCTTCTCAAAAGGCACGAGTTTTTTCGCCCTTCTATCCGCCTACGGGGCGATCAAAAATAGAAACGATTTTCGTACAATCTTGCGCACAGCACATGAAGGGCCCAAGTAATTAAAATTAAAGTCACAGAGCGGAGCCATTGCTTTAGAGCGGTGGCGTTCTAAGCAATTTTTTCTAGTAAAAGGTGAGAGATAAAAATTCCAAATGAACGGACGTGGCAATGCTCAAAAATACTTAAACGTTTTCGAAATTTTTCGAGGGCCTATATCCCACCCCCAAATTCTGAGGAAGGGGCGTGGCAGCGGCCATATCCCCTAAACCTTTTGAGCTGCTATGAATTTTTGAATGAACTTAATTTAGCTGTTTACAAGTGAAAACCATTTCAAGCATTGCGCATTTTTATACCCTCAGTCCGAAACTACTGCAAAGGTTCATTCAGTGGCTCTGCAAAAGTAAACATCTCGGATTCGTTATAATAGCTCGCTTACAACCCAAGTATAAGAGAGAAAGTCCGAGCGCAGATCATGCTGTCCCTGCTAGGAAAACGCGCGCAAACCATTCTTAACACTTTCACGACAAGGCCAATTTGAATTACTGCCGTTTCGGACCAGAGCCTTTTTTGCTTTGTCAAGGTTACGACCCACCCGTGGGTCGTATTGTCCGAATAGTCTTTTTGAAAGAATTTCAAAACATGTCTCCGAGAATTTCCCCTCAAGGGTTATCGAAGACGCTGACCAAAATAAGATTTATTTCAGCTTTAGCAGTACACGGTAAGGTTACGGTAGTCATTCCGTACCCAACATCATAGATTTCCATGAAAAATTGTTTTGGGGTGATGATTATAGTGTCCGCTTTGTTCACTACTTTCCCACAGGGGACTACGGTAGCAGCAGGTAAGATTTTCATAGGAATTAAGAAACTGATGTTAGAAGGCGGTATTAGAACTTGAGACTATCATTTTCTTAATCAGCATGCTGAAAAATATGTAAGGTGTAAAAATATGTAAGGTTTGAGCTTCCTGAGATGAACAATGCGAAAAAATCGATAAAATCATTAATTTTGATGAGCTGACATCAGTCTCATGCTCTCTCTGTATTCCCCCTGCATGTAAACTTGAATTTTCAAAAACAGCACCACTCTGCGAAAAATTTGAGCTAAAGTCTGTGCCCTACCTCTATCTACGATACTACCGTAACCTTACATTACAGTATCCCGAACGCGGACTACTCAGGCGGGAGCTTCGCCAAAGTGCCCCCCATGTGCCAGAACCCCGTAGAATTCCATCGTATACTGGCAAAACCAGAGCTTTGGGATCTTACGACCCATCGGTGGGTCGATTGTCCGAAGCGGCAGAGCACGTACGACCCACCGGACGGTCATATTGTCGTGAATGTGTTAAACGCGTTCAGACGAGCTCGCGATTTCCCTCCCTTAGGCGGCATACCGCAATGTGACCACAAGGGTCCCGCCGCAACTCTGCGTCTCCATCCTTGGCGGGAACCGTTCCACTCGTGCGATTGCAAAATAAGCGGACCTTGATATGCTAGAACTTGCCTTTTCGCGATTTTCGAGGGAAAGGTCAAATGGCGCATATTGCTCACAGACTAAAAGAAGCAAGAAGGAACCTGAAATAGTGCTACTTCCGAATTTTAGTTATTTATTTTCCACTACAGTTTATGATATGATGACAAAACCGCCGGTCTGGAAACCTAGCTTTTCTAGAGTACAAATCCCTTCCGGCAATGGTAACTGAAGAAACGCGCGTCTTTCGAAATACACGCGCTTCGAAGTCAACGAGAGGGTTACCCGAGGTAAGCATCTTTCAGATTTGGAAAGGGGGAGGGGGTGGCAAATATCTGGAAAACCGGGTTCCAATGCAAATGAAATCGCGCGCTGGGAGGAATGCGAAGTAAATTATCACTCACAAGCAAAGTGTAGGCATCAGTATCACTTGGCACTAGGAAATCTCGGGATTCCTCAAAACTGCCATAATCGATCTTCTGAAAATCAGCTTAAAGTTTTAGCAGCTCCGAAACTAATGGAAAGCCTTACTTCTAAAAAGAGAACTTCCTTTTCTTTGAGCGTCTCGATAGCTTTGATGAGATTCTCCGTCAAAGTTTTATCCTTCTCCAGAAGTGCTACAGTGTCGTCTATGCGTTTTCGAAGTGAATCACTGCAGACAAACTTGAACACGAACCCTGTAACCGGTGTTGGGCTTGACAAATAGGGCCTTTCTTTAACACACTATCCAGATTATATCAAATCGCTTTTATTTCGTTTTCTAAAAATTCTGCCAAAAGCTTTTCGTCAAACTACAAATAATTGTTTATCGACATGTGGCGTATCGTACCAAATCTTAATACCTAACATCAGACAGTTTTCGCGTCATCTGAGGAGGATTTTCGGGTTTAGCTCCCCAAAAAAGGTAAGAATTCAGAGGACTGCAGCTACCTTTCCTTCTTGAAAAGACTATTGAAAGCTGAACAGAGACACAGTGCTTCATTCAAAAGTCTGCTTATGGACTATGCAATAATGTGATTTTTACTGGTACCATACAGCCAACTCTTTTGAGAATCACAGATTTAGATTACATTTGGAAGCACCATCCTCCCATAACTGACTACCTCCAAACGACCACGTGATGGGCGGAGCTACCACGCAGCCTCTACATTCTAAAGCAACTTTTTCGCTTCCAAGTTCACTTTTGCAACAGAACAAGATCATCATAAACATTACCTTTCCTTTGGGAATTCCTGCGGAACCTGCCTCCCCTGCGTTTCCGAATCTTCTGTATCATCACAGTGGGTAGTTGTGCACCATCGCTTGACCCTGACATCGCACCTACAGTCTAGATGATTCAAACATATATGCGAAATGCACACAATGCACCGTTGTGCGTTTCATACGAGGAACTTTAAGGCGCATCTCTTCTAAGCAAGTCTTTCTCAGCTCTTTTCCTAAGCCCTCCGTCATTGTTTAAAGGCAGCGTACACCCAAAATCTGAGTTACCTAATTTTCTAGATCTTTCTATACCGTGTATATACTGGGCCCAGAAGAAAACCGACTGCGTTGGTCCGGTCTCCCAATGTTGCTTCTGAGCGGAGAAAACCCCCTCCATTTTCTTTCACTCCGCCCCTTTTCTTTCACTCCGCCTCCTCCGGACCAACCCATGACAGCGTAAGCTGCAATTGCTGTTGCATCTGCAACTGAAGTTTTGGGTGTACGCTGCCTTTAAGAAATTCTGTCAGGTCCTTAACACGTTGACGACGAGCCATGTTTTTAACCCATTGACGACGACGCCTAGTTTTGCGTGGCGGCGCTGTGGGACGACGCAATTTTGCACAACACTTTCGGCGCGGGAAAGATTTGTGAATATTTACGAAATGTAAAGTTGTTTTAATCAACTACAGTCATCTTCTTGGCCGACGGAGTCTACGGGTTCCGACAGTGCAAAAAACTAGAGATAATAATGAATTGTGGAGAAGATACTAGACCTGAAAAGGACATGATTTTGCAAGGGGTGTGGGCCACCGGTGGTCCACATCGTCTCTGGCGGCAAAAAGTGTGTGGGCCACCGGTGGTACGCATCGTCGTCAATGGATTAGAGGTCTGTCCCTGTAGACGAGACGTCGTGCAATCCTTATGTATGCATGCATCCATGCAGGAGATATGAAATGTGCCAACGCGGCCCCCATGTGGCAAGTTTCGCCCACTCGACCAAAAATGTCGGAAATTGTCCCAATTTTGAGAATGCGAACTCGCACTTTCGAAAAATGGGCGGGGTTTGCCTGATGGTGGGCGGGGCCTAAAAGTTGCTTGATGACTTTGCGTTCATCTATGACCTTATCCACTTTCTTTATGAACAAAAAGGGTACTTGTGAGAGGCATGGAAGTGGGCGGAGTTTCAAAAGGGGCGGGGCTAACACAATAGGCTGTATCAGCCGGCATCGGTCCTGCGCCAGCAGCTTCCGACGACGCACCGTCGTGCGGCGTGCCATAACGCGTGGTAGAGTTCGCGAGCGCTAAGTCACATCGTCGCCGCCGCAGGCGCGACGTCGCATGACCGATGCTGGTTGGTACAGCCTTTAAAGGCAGTGTCCGGGCAAAAACTCGATTTGGAGATTTTGTGCTTACTTGGGCCTATTCGGTACGCTGAATCCGAAAATGCACATTGTAGAGCGCGAAAATGGCGAAATACCGCTCTAACACAGGAGGGAAATGAGCAGGTGGGCGGGGTCCTCCCCAATGCGAATTCACGTTCCCGGCTTTCGGAGCGACCTTCTCGTTTCCGGTTTCAAGTCAATCATTCGTACTTGGCCAGTAGCGATGTTAGGACGGCTAGCGGAATCGAGAAAATCGCTCCGGGAGCTGGTAGCGTGAAATCGCACTGGGGAAAGCCCCGCCCACCTGCTGACTTCCCTCCTGTGTTAGAGCCCTTTTTCGCCGTTTTCGTGCTTTCCAATGTGGATTTTCGGATTCAGCATGGCGAATGGGCCCGTATAAGTACAAAATCTCAAAATCGAGTTTTTGCCCGGACACTGCCTTTAAGTCACCCGAGCCTATGTTGATTAAACAAACACTGTGGACAAATAGTATCGAAATTAAGGCCGTCGCGCACCACTGCGCGGCGTCGTCCACAGGGACAGACTGCCTGCGGTGCACTATTGGACTATCGTCAACGCCTTAAAGGCAGCGGCTCGGCAGATTTTCAACCTCGGGGTTTTGGCAGATTTGGGGCTATTCCGGCTTCCTGAATCACGATATGAACTCCCTTTAGCGCGAAAATGGGGAAAACCCCGTCTTTTAAAACCCCCTTAAGATGGGCGCGGACGAGTGAGCCGTTTTTCTCCGCCGTCAGAGACGCAGAGTAAGGAGGTAGAGAGCGCTACAACAACTGTGCACTACGAAGCTACGAGTGACTCAGACATTCGTGGTTAACACGCGCAGTGGATCCGCCCACAAAACGGGGTAGCGCGGAAAAATGAGTACTGCTGCGGCATACGCGCTTTTGTTGCGACGTTCGGGCTAATCCCGAAACTAAAAAGGAGGCGGGAGAAATTTACACACCCGTCGCGACTCCCGAAAATGGTCTTGGTCGCGATTAGTCGTCTAAAATGGTCTTGTCTGTAATCACGCATGCTTCGCCCTGGGCGTCTAAATTCAAAAAAGAAGTTGCGCCGTTGTGTTAGTGGTGGAGCGGGCTGATTCTTCCGGTGAATCTTGCATCTAGTTTTTGATATTTGTTGTTCGAATCTGTCTTGTTGAAATAGTCTAATACTTTGCTGGTTTAGTGAGAATTTGATTTCATTCTGTCTTAAGTGTCGCTGTTTCTTTGTTTTTTGTTACGCACTGAAGGGTTAACGATCAGGATTCTTTTTTGTCCCACCTTAACGATTGACTTCTTGATTTGAGTGCTCGATAAGAGTTTCTTCTTCGTTACAGCATCGCGTTTCTTCATCATCTCGTTAGGAAGTGTATGACAAATGCGTCCAACCCTCTATTCAGGTAGCAGTTCGCATGCTTGACCCGTTGGGAGGCAAGTAACAGAGTTCGCCCTGGTTCGATAGTCTCTCCACATCGTCGACCGCAATGAACAGTAACTCGTCGGGTTCATCCGGATCACCACTGAGTCTCTCGTCTCATCTCAGAGACAGCTCAGACGCACTTTCACGTCCCACTTGGCTCTTCAATAATCAGGTTGTTTCGTATTTTTGAATATTGCAAGACTTTTTTGTAGTATCTCTGATCACAATGCGAAACTCTTAGCATTAATTCGATCTTTCTTCTCTATAACTTCTTTTTTTGCTCTTTGTTGCCTATTCTCTATCACCTGTCCATTGTGTATCCCTATGCTGAATTCTATGATTTTCATAGAAGAAAATGCATTTAGAGCTTGTTCTTATATGCGATCTAATCACATTCACTAAATATCATTTTAGCTAGCTGATCTTGCCTAACTGAAAAAATTTTGGAAGTACCCTTGCAGGTTCACCTTGGTTCACCAAAAATTTTCACATATCTCGAGTTTCTGTTCGCTATACACGAGACTGTTATCATCTTTTTTTGATTGCATTAATTTATCACTCTGGCGTGAGCAGGAAGTCGAAACATATCGTCCCCTCCACAGATCGTGCTACCTTTGTGGCGTCACGGACGTGCCGCGTGTGACTAATTGGCAACGTTGGCAGCAACACGTTGGCAACATGCAGCAACATGTTGGCGTGGCCAAAATGTTCTGCCGACATGTTGGGACATGTTGCAAACATGTTGTTGCCACGTTGCCAACATGTTAGCCACACGTGGTAGGTCTGAGACGCAGATTAAGGGTAGCACGATCTGCGGAAGGGACGACAAGTAAAGTGAACGCAAACCATTGTTCGTAACAGTCTCGTTCCTGCTTGCATAGAGACAACGAACTGTCATAGCTTTTTGACTCAGGCCTGCTCCACTCCTGCCTGTTCCTGCGTGAAGACTTACAATTACTCGTTTTTTAGACTTCATATTAAACGCTTTTGGCTTATTCGCGGATGAGCTTCTTCTAAGTGCCGCTGAATGCGCAAGACAAGCTAATAGGTATAACCAAAGATTTTTTTAGAGCTCTCTGATTTCTCGTGCTTTCAGTTACTGGCATACGCTAGGAGAGAATGGTCAACAACGCACGAAGAGATTTGATAGCATGGTGCAAGCCAGATTTACTTGGAATGGAAATATTCGTTCAGCACTTACAAGAGCATTGTAAGCTTTCATGTACCCTTCCAATAAATATATATATATATCTTCAATTTAGGGGAGACCTGCGCGCTTATTCGTTCAAACCGGAAAAGAACGAACTCGTTCCCCTGTCGGTAATATATACATCCTTTCTATGCACATCAGCCTTAAAATGGCATCTTTATTTCAGAAAAAACGCACTTGTACAGTTGCAGTGGCCACCGATCCGGTCCAGGTCAGGGATGAGGACAAAGAATATGAACTCGAAACACTTTGAAGCAATTCTATCACACATAAGCATCACTATTACTTTTGTTTGTTCCAACATGTTCTCATTATCACCGCACTAATTAGAAGAATTTCCATTTTTATATCCCATATCACTTATGGTGCTCTTGCTTATTTGTTTACATTCCTATAACTTGAAGATCCGAGGCCGTATTCATTATTCATACCTTGAGGTAAATCCTGCTTCCAGGTAGTTTAATCACTCATTATCATAAGTTTTATCACTGATAATCTATATATATATAAAACTCAAACACTGTACTGTGTTTGTTAGGATGTTTGTGGCTTATAGACTCCTTTGTATGTAAACCAAAGAGGCTGAATTTTGTTTCCCTATAAACAAGCCACGGCGCAAAAGATAGGCTACTTTTTTCGACAATTTGCTGGGTCCTTCTATCGATTTATTGATTTGTTGCACGCTCAGTAAGGGAACGAAGCTTATCAGCAGCTATTGCCGAACCATTCCTACACTTATGTAAACAAGAGCAGTACGATCCATTGTGAACTTTCGTCATCAAAGCAAGGTCGAAAGCGTTCAGATGTAGATCCTATATATTCTGTCTAAAACTGCGAGATGCATCTTTTGCGGTGCGAGGTAGTAGTGTTGTTAACGCAAGTCAAAGCCTTTTTTTGCAGATGTGAGCCAATCGCTAAGTTACAAGCTGTCTCAAATTGCGTGCCACACTCTAGCGTTGGAACCTCCGGCATGAATTCCAGCCGCATGAGCGTGACTCTCAATCTGAAAGCTTACATCATAATTTTGTTTATTGACTGAAGTCCTTGAGTTTTTTTCATTAATCTGTTATCCAAATGGCTCACAAGTTGTGGATTACATATCTTTAATGTGGTAGAATGGCTGTTGCTTTGGCTATAAAGGTATTCGCTCTCTAAAGCAAGGACAGTCAAAGAAGCACTTACTTTTGTCGTAGTTCGGAGAGGAGGGTAGAGTGCGGGAGTTAAAACAGAATAACCGACTAGCGGCGAAGTACTAGGAAAAATGATCCTCAGAATAGCAATGGGCGCTACATCATTCGAACGTTCTTCCACCTATATCGCAATGCTTGCTCTTCAAGTTTTTTCACGTCTTCCATGTTTCAAAAAGAAGAGAGACAATGCTGTTGAGTAAAAGTGTACACATTTTATTTTTATTTTTGCAAACAAACTTCAATGATACACTACTGCTTTGAGTGTCATATATATCCAAAGACAGTGAACCCTAAGTGATGTTATCCCGGGCAAGGCCGGGTACGACAGCTAGTGACTGATAAAACTACCTGGAAGTACGATTTACCTCAAGGTATCAATGATGAATACGGCCTCTCAATTCACTTAGCCACTATTATACTCCCATTCCATTTATTATGGTGCTCTTGCTTTGATTTGTTTGCACTCTAACTTCAAGATCTAAATTCATTTATTTTGTGTGTGCACTTGTTATGAGAAGTTCTCAATAAACATCTATTTGAGTACTGATAAGAGAATAAACTTGAAAACATGGGTATTCAATGCATTTTAAAAAGTAACTAAGAGAACAGCGATGAGCGCAAGTTGCGCCGTAATTGAATTCTCAACATTACCGGGTCTTGCGCTAAAGCTCAGTTTTTCTCCCGGTCTGCGTGAGTGCGGGAGAATAACTTGTCTCGTGCAGCAATTTCCCGATCACTACGCCGGTGTCCCGAAATTCTCGCGACTGTTTTAATTAAGTCCCGCAGTCATTCTGTCGCTACATAACGTTTCTTTGCGCGCGAGTCAACCACGAGTGTCTGAGGACGACGCATTTTGTAGCGGAGAACACATTCGTCCGAATAAAGTGTTAGGGGAGCAAAAGGAGGAAGGGGAGCGGCGGTTCGGCCGCCTCCCTGGCTTGCAGAGTTCACATTTTCGGCGTTCTGGTTCACTTGAAGGGCCTCCTATCTATCTGTGGCAAAATCTGAGGTAGGTTCATTCTGCCGAGACGCTGCCTTTAAGGGCACCCTCCAACCAATTTACGGATAATGAGATTTTGAATGCCGAATGAAGGAACCCCCATCTAAACCATAGCCCAAACTCGCTGCAAAAGATATTAGATTTCGAAGCTAGAAAACCGTCCAGAAGGTAGTGAAAATGAAAAGCCCGCCGGGCTCTAATGTATCTGCAGTTGTCATGAACTTGTCATGAATCCCTTCATTATGACTGTCAGATTTCCGACATTTCTATCTACCCTAAAGCATGATTTTGAACTTCGTGTCTCCGAGCCACCCAGATGGGGAGCTAACTGGCGCTACTTTCTGAAGCGGTCTTCTCGCTTCGAAATTCGACTTTTCGCAACGAGACAATGGCGAAGGCTTAGTTGAGAGTCCCTCCTTTAGATGAGATCAAATTCTAACTACCTTCAAATTGAATGGGCGGCTTTAAGTGAGCGAAAAGATAAACGAGAGATTCAGGACGATACGCGCAACTTTTGCAGTACGCAATCTCACATTCGGGGTATATATTGGGATACATGATGACTAAACTGTGTGTAAGTTTCAAGTGTACATAGAAGGCAATCATGCAAAAATAAATTATTTGTCTACCCTAGCCCTCCAGTTATGTCATGCTGATACGGGAACTCTTGGATAGATCTGTATCACGGTTAGAATATGTGATGGGGTACTACCGTAAAGTCAGAACCGACTCTTTTTTATTGCAAAAAGACTGCTCGATTCTGCATGAAAATTTCATTGATATAGATGCTTGAGTATAAGAATGGAGTTCCTCTGCAAATCGCCCCTGATCTGCGCTACCAAATCTCCCAAACTAACACGAGAAAAGTCTGATACCTTCCCCGGCATCACTGCCTGTAGCCATCGAACCAATTGCAATTCGTATTGCTTCCACTTCCCACTCTTCGAACTGCAGTTACAAAATGAACAAAGAAGAAACACAGAAGTCTAGCAGAGTCTTGACCGTACCTGGTGCGCAAGCTCACGCAGCTCCTCTTCAACTTTGACACGATGATTGCACCATTCTGGCAATAGTGCTTTAATTGTGTGGCAGCTCTCGATGCACGAATTGAACGCTTCCATCTCTAGTGTTGCGATTATAGGATCAAACATTCGTTGTAATAAGCATGGTGCAGGGTGAATCAAACGGCAAAAATTTGAGATGAACTGCTTCAGATTACATCAAATGTCGTGGTTTGAAACAAACGCAGATTTATTAAGATGATAGATGTCTAGAGACAAAAAAAATATCCTGAAAAGAAAAAACGTGAGGATGGAAGTTGCGAAAAAAAGGGCATGACGGGCCCTGTTGCTTCTCCCTTGAGCATGCTGTATCCGATCAACCAGGTGGCAAAAATGCTCATAAGCTTATACCGCTTTTTGAGCTTTATAAGTTCGACAACCAGCTTCATCTAGTTGTCGACCTACAACTCTGATCGCGAAAGTGAGTGAATCTACTGTGAACTCGTACAGACTCACACAGAAAAAAATCAAAATTAGAAAAAATTATGGCTGTTGAAGTACGACATCCCTCTTTCACCTGATACTTCGCAAAGAGTTGTAAACCGAAATTGTGGAGGCAGAATGCTTCAGTTTTTTTAGTCTAGGAAGAAGGAAGGAATAGTGATGATTTATAAGCATGCATGACCATCGAGCGTCGAGCTAAGCAAATTACATACGAAAAATTCGGGTTGTGGTGCTCCCAAACCATGACTGTACGATGTAAACACGCATAGATTCGGAAGTAAACACTGTGGGTCCTGCGTAGAAGCGGGGTGTTTAGCTGGGGGTTCATATTGATCCGCATGTTTCGAAACAATTTCAGCGATTTATAGAAAGAACTTTCCAATTTCAGCACAGTTTCGGAACTGTGCGCTGTGCTGGAAAACTGTTCCGGGGCTCAGGGATCAGCATGAACCCAGTCTTTGTATGCACTATGGGGTATGTTGGACTTCTCATAGCTGCTTGCGAATGGATAAGGATAGCCGCTGCAACCTTATATGTAGAAACCATTTGTACATCAAGAGATTATCTACAAACCATCCTGAGTAATGTGTTCATTATGCTACTCATCAGTAATCAAGATCCATTTATGGAAGAGATGAATGGAGGAAAGATTTTTTTTAAGTAGAGGGAGTGGAGAGCAGTTAAGATTGAGGTTGCGAAATAGTTTACAAAAAGCGCATGACAGCGAGTGCTTGTTTTGCCACAAACACGCTACAGTAAGCGAGATGAACCCAGACATCATGTGCTTTCCAGGTCACTTTCTCTGTTCTTATATTTAGGACGGTAAGAACGAACGGCATGTTAACAATTGGAGGTTATAGCAGGTTACCTAGCGTCTCAAGATTTAGTATTTTCAATGTAGTGCGAATTTAAAATATGAAGGTGGCGAAACTTTTTTGAAGGAGCTTCTCTTGACATTCTTCAGCCGTGTTTACTTCCAATCATTACCATACATAGTCAGTCATTTAACCTTCATACGGATTTCGATGCGTATCGAAGGGCAGATTACGTGGTCAGTTTCTCCCAACTGAAAATCATCCCTCGTCAGAATGGCTTAGAACAGTTTACGCACACCGAAATGAATCTAGATTGCTCACCTTTACCGTTCCCACTTTTCCTTCTCACATCGCAGACGCGAAACTGAGGTGGATTAGTTCTCATCCTAGAGAGTTGATCAGGTATTTTTTTGAGAAACACCTAGACCAAGACGCTAAATCCGAATATCAGGTTGATACATAGTTCCTGTACTAAAATAAGTACAGACAGCAAGCATAGATCTTCTATATCCTAAATGGTTCCTGATATACCATTCGATAGAGCAAGGCTAGCTCTACAAGATAGCTCTTAAACTTTCGCAGCACCTTTGATCCAAGCGAAGAATAAAGCCAAAAACGAAAAAGATCCTAGCGCCCCAAAAACAAGAAAAAAATTGAAAGCGTTCAGAAAACTCCCCCTAAATTTCTAATCTCATGCATTGGTTTTTCGTATAAGACATTCCACTATGCAGTTGCTGTATTTTTCTCTCGACTAAAAATTGAGAAAACATCTTTCAAATATCCTCATCTTTTTTCCAAAACATGTAGAGCTGTTCTAGCACACGTCGTATATTCTAGGACTTTAGACGGATGGGTATGAATTTTCAGCATTTTACAGCAGCTGGTTTACGAGAAATATCGAATTTTAAGCAACTAGGCAATAAACATTCGGATGAAAAGGGCAGATTCGATATTACTCGTAAACTAGCTCTTCTGAAGCTGAAAACGTAAAGTTTTACTGCTAAAGGCATGTAGTATACAATCGTTATTGCTAGAACATCTCAGCACTAATATGGCAAAAACAGGAAAAACTTCGTTTTCTCATCGTCTAGCTGAGAAAAAAAAACAGCAACCGCATAGATGTCTTACGTTGAACGTATACTCGTGAGCAAGCAAGAACTTTTGCAGGAGTTTTTATCAAACGGAGTTGCAATTTTGTTTTCATTCTCCTTTTTTTCAGACGCATGGTTTTTTCAGTTTTCGGCTTAAAACTTCGCATGAATCAAAGTTGGTGTAGATACTTGAGCACTGTCTCTATCTAGGATATAGGGGAAATCCGGATTATTGCGGTCTGTACCTACTTTGCTGCAGGAAATATGCATCAACCTCATAATATAGGTCCAACAGTTTAGCTCATAACCCATGCAATCTGGCGAGTAAAGGGTGAAAAAGGGTGTGTAGATTGTACAAGGTCAAAATGTTACGGTAGCCGTACGCCAGGTCAAAAACAAATAAAATGTGTGTGGGCCTTGCAACTAATCTCTTGCTGGCAATTAAGTTGTAACTGCATCATGTAAACGTTATTATCAGATTATTTCGTAAAGACACCTTCGCATAAATGTATACGTCTGAATGTTCTGGTAGCTTTTTTTTATATATTCAGAGCTTGTGTCATGTCAGGCGCAGCAATCAGTTTCCGCAATTGTTTCCGCAACCTCCACAGCAGAATCTCCCTTTGGCATATTCTTTCTTTCAGTAGGTCGTAATTGGTCCATTGTAATCGTAGTACTGGCATCGTAGCACGTAAATTTAGTACTAACTAATAAATCAGTTTTCTTACTATTCCACCATTCCAAAATATTGAATCTTATGTCATATGGGCTATAGAACTATTAGTTTCGGAAAAATAGGATTTTCTGTTCTGCTTAGTATGTGCCGACTGTGAAAATTCAGTCTCATAATGCGCCCGTGAAATCACTTTTCAGCTTAGCGTGTAATGAATAGCTGTGGAGCATTTCGCTACTCTTGCTCACAAGAAGTTCCTAGCTCACTCTGAAAGCTAAAAATAGGGAATATCACATGCACATCATAAAATATCACATGCGGAAAACATAGTGTTAGTGCCGCTTTAGTTCACGCACAAGAAGGCGAGTGGTGGACTGAGAAATCTGACTCTTGAATCAGCTTTGGCGGAGTCGCACGAAGCGTATTGAATAACGTGACAGAAGCACCCGGATATCCAGCTCAAGACTATTTTTTTGAAGAATTCTTCACTAAACATACACCTCTCTAGTCCACAACTTTGCAAATCGAACAAAAAAAGGTAAAATCAAAAGGGGAAAGGTACAGTATACGTAGAAGAAACCTAGACTACCTAAATAGATGACACAGTGAACTTTGCCTACGCCTTTCGACGATGGCTTTATCCCTTGGATATCTTTTTACCTAGAAATCCTTATGAGTGTGATATTACAGTAAATCATGGACTAAAAATTCATCGTAAAGCCCATGGCTAGCTCGACAGATTTCGAAAAAGAACTCGTTTCCGAACTTACACAATTTACGTTTTGGCAGATCAAACCCACAAGAGATACTTTGCTTTCTAGAGGAAGTGGGCGATGGAAATTTTCGAGACTTCTGTTAGGCAACAAATACTACCAAATTTTTTGAGATGTGCGAAAACTCTAATGTTTCACAATGTAAAATACCTGCAGGCTCCAACTTAGCTTAATATTCAAAAGGTATTGAAAGTGAGTTTTGTCTTGCCTCCAAATGATAACGCGAGTTTAGCATTAAAATTATGAGTACTCAACAAATGGAGTACACTCTGTTCCAACCGTATGTGAATCAAAGCACTATAAGAAGCAGCGCGTTGCTGCCACGTTTGCTAGCGCGCAACGCTGGCATTTTGCCAGAGATCAAAAAGAATGAGGATACTCAAACGTGGGTTCCTACTACGATGTGATTTGGAGTGCTATGGTTGCGAAAAGGCGCCAGATCCCACGAAGCGAACTCGATATTTTAATTTCGTCCTGAAGTGGTGGAAACAAGCTGTGCATATTTCAGCAATTTGATTGAATATGCGAAGGTAGGTGTAAGAGAACTCGTTGTCAGAGATGCCGTTGATTAGTTTAAAATTCTTTACTCCTGGTATATCGACGCTACCTACAAAACCTAAGGAAATGCTTTGTAAGAATTTCTCTCAACTTGTTCACAGGTGGTAGATGTCCTGCACATTAGAGTAGGTGCTTGTAGATGCTGGTAGTAGATGCTTGTCCTGCACACTTTTGGCATGAACTTTTTAGCATATAACATCTTAGAACGTGTTTGTAAGCCATTTTGCAAGTGCAGAAAAAAGAGAGGATCAACTCTTTACTCAAAGCTGATCTGAACTCCGTGGCGAAGCAGTACATTCAAAAAATACAAAAATGAGTACAGCTGTGGGACATATCATATTGACCGGAGTAAATCACGAGTATGTGGTACGCCACCATTGCTAAAAGTGGAGTGCGCTAGCAGGCGAAATAGCAGGCACATGGGTACGGAACGATATCAACTTGATCTCACGGTATTGGTAGATATTCCATAATCAAATGAGGTAAATGGTGACATTCCCATTTGACACAGCTAGCGAGATTGTGAAGCTGGAATGCAACTTCGTAGCGACCTTGAATACCTTCGACAGCCAGATTCTACAAAATGCGAACGTGAAACTATATAAATTCGATGGTAAGGAGCAACAGAGAGCAACAAACCGGAATATTTCTGACAGTCCTGGCGAGATGCAATGACTCTTTTAGATTCAACAATATACCGAGCATGCTGGGAAAGAAATCGAGCTCGGAAAATTTTCGGCGACTGAGACGCCATACAACGGCCTAAACATTAGTTCTAGTATAGATCAGTTCACAGAATCTATTGCGTATTTTACCGGTAACCTTTAACTTTAGCAAGCATGCATGGGGGCAAGAGGTCCAAACTCCCCCTCTCCAACTGCTCTGCAAATTCCAAGAATTTCACATTTTTGTTTGAAAGCAAAGCTGCAGGAAGGTCGGAACCGAAATTTGCGCTTGAATGCGATCGACTATCGAACTTCGGGGATGACACTCCACCCATTTTGGCTGCAAATGGCTGATACTCCAACAACCAATGGCTTCTCAAAAGGTACGAGATTTTCCGCTCCCTACAGGGCTGAGAACACGACCAAAAATAACATTTTTCGTAAGATCTTGCGCTCAGCACATGGAGGACCCGCAGTTAAAATTTAAGTCACAAAACTTCGGATCCATTGCTTAGAAGCAGTGGCGTCTAAGTGATTTCTTCGATGGAAGGGAGGGAGGAGCAACTTGCAATGGGCGTGACAATGCCCAAAAAATTGCATCTCTTCGAAACTTTTCGAGAGCTCATAATCCCTGCCCTCAGCGGTCGTATCCCCCAAATCTTTTTTTGCGAAGCTGCTTCGGATTTTTGGAATACATTCAGAACTCATTTTGATTGTTTACAATGAGAAAAGCCATTTCAAGCATTTTTAGGGTGTCTTCATACCTCGCCGCCAGCAGCCGCCGGCAGCCCAGCAGCCCCTAGCAGCCGCTGGCCGCTTTTGTTATAGAGTACAAAATCATCAGAATCTTACGACTTTGAGTGCTCCTGCCTACTTTTCATTTTCCACGCTTTTTCTCATGTTGCCGCTAGTGTGTAGTTCGACCTCACATATCGTATTCTTGTCCATTTCATTACTTTGTCGCCGTATGGTCATCCTGTTGAACCATAATTCGCACAAGTTCGTTAGTTCCTTACCGGTGTGATTTCCTCCGACTTTGGATGCGTCCAATTCCTGCACGTGTGCAATTTGTTTATTTTGAGTATTCTTTGCTTCCATCTCTTTCCTGCCCATCGGCGCATGTCTAGATTGCATTCTACTATTTCGCAAGTTCGCCGAATTGATTCGCGGGGTGGGTTCTTCTGACTTTGAAAAGGCTCACAATCGTTTCAGACAAGACAGATTGCAAAACTGAAATGCGGGCGCCGATAGGATGCAATGTGCGGCAACAGAACAACGAACGTAAATTCAATGCGTGAAATCGAATTACACACTGGTGGCAACAGAAAAAAGCGTGGAAGAAGAAAAGCATAGGCAGGAGCACTCAAAGTAATAAGATTCTGATGATTTTGCGCTCCTATAACAAAAGCGGCCAGCGACGGCTACGGGCTGCTACCGGCTGCTAGCGGCGGCTGCCGGCGCGGTATGAGGGCACCTTTACTTATACCCTTTAGTCCGGCACTGCTGCAAAGGTACATGCAGCGGCTCTGCAAAAGTGAATGTCTCGGAATTTTGATATGGTAAGTTGCTTACATCCCATATAAAGAGTAAGACTGAGCGCACAGCATACTGCTCCTGATCGGAAAACGCCCCAGACCAGGGCTCGGCACGAGCTGGCACCAGGGAAATTTCAAAACGAAGTCCCGTTTGATATTGAAAATTTCGTACGAAGTCCCTTTTGACCTGTTTTGAAAACCCGTCATCATTTTTATATTATGATTAAATTGTAGTAGTGTTTTCATGCATTTCTGATTTCATGAAAGAACTTTTCACAGCTTTCTGAGCTTTTTAAGTGGTCGAATCACATCTTGAGAAGCAAAAAAAGCCGATTTTTCGACTGCGGAGCGGACCGAGTGGTTTTCAAATTGCTATAAAACGCTGAAAAGAGAACATTATGAAACTGTTTCTCCTCCGTATGTAATCTTTTACAGTGTAGATACATTTTATGTGAAAAAGTATGAAAACTTATGTGAGCAAAGTGTCGGTGCCAGCTCAGCTGACACCATACCTTCGATAGTCAAGAGACAAGGGCTTGAAAGTGATAGTTGTTTGAGTTCTTGCCCCCTATAAAAAGTGAAGGTTATTTCAGAAAAATAGACGAAAATTTAGAGATACAAATTAAATTAGAAAACTTAGAAAATTCATATAAAGCAGAGGTTAGCACATCACCAAATCTGAAACCTTAACTTGGTGGTTTCCTACGCAGAGTTTCGTCTCCAGGATTGCCGTTAAAATTGGGTGACAACAACAACAAAGTTCTTTTCCAATCAAAAAAGCGCTGTTTAGCTGTGGCGTTAGTTGGGAGACCGAAAGAAGAAGAACTTGTCAACAACTGAATTGAACATGTTAAACATGTCTGTAAAGTTGTGTTGCAAATCGACGCCAATCTGATTTTTGATGCGTCCTTCAAATTTTCACCACCGCATAGTCATTTCGTACGCTGCGACGTTGTCTGGATTCTTCCGCTCATCATTCTGAGCAAATATCGTCCAAGCTGGAAAAAATTCGCTGCAAAAGCACAGAAAGAGAACAAGGTAAAGAAAAACGCACTTTTTTGTATTTTACCAAAAAAACCGGCATAAGCAAAGAAGTAAGCTCGGCGACGTTGTCTACATCATAGACAGAAACAAGACCTATCGAATGCACAAAAAAACCGAGTGAAAAAAGCCAAACTGAAGAAAAAACAAGAGGTTTTCGAAAACACCGTTTTTCGAGGATTTCTCGTTTAAATCCCAAAAAGAAGTTCCGCGACGTTGTCAGCGTGAAAATAGAGACCAAGAGCTTCAATATGATATATAGATTATCGAAATTGGGCTCCGAACAACGAAGAAAAGGGTACCAGAGCCAAATGCCCCGCGCCCCGCATTTGAGGTAGCGAGGTAGCGCGCAGCGCGCGGAGACGCAGACGAGCAGCGGAGACAGACCAGAGCCGACGGGCATTTGGCTCTGGTCGTGGATCTTCGCAGGGTCTCAACGAAACCCTGCAAAATTATATATCGTTGTGATCCTCATGAGACGGCCAGGAGCACTGACAACGTCGCGGGTCTTGAAAATCACTCCATAACGAGATAGACCAGCATTCATATGGCGACTCTTTGCGCACGATTTGAGCGCAGTTTTTCGTTTTTATTGAACTCTAGCGGCTTTAATGAACTTCCAACATTCAACCGCAGTTCAGAGAAAGGTTAATTGAGAAATTTTGCCCTAGTTTTTGATAGAATTTTCAAATTAAAACCTTTTCTCAACAAAAAAGGCCATAAAACGCAATCCTTCGATTTTTTTGAGCTTCTTTTGAATGTCACTGCTATATTTGCCTCATTTAAATTCATCCCTATAATTATGTCATTAGTTATGTCATAATTTCCGAGGCTTCGCCCCGGATGACTTCTGTACTTCTCCCCTGGTGAAGGTTGTGTTCTATCATGACGCTCAAAGTGAAGGTTCCCAGAGTACATGGCTCTATGTATCGAAGGTATGGCTGGCACCCAGCTGGCACGGTGCCAGCTAATTCAGAAAAAAGTTCGGCACAGCTTTCATTCACATAAGTTTTCATAAATTTTTGGTCCGTAGTTCCGGTCCACCAACGCGCATGCACACACCAAATTTGGTGTCATACTATTGCGATTTGGCTGAAAACAACGCCTTTGTTTGTTGATGGACAGCTTGCCAATGGCATGCCAGTGGCATGCCGGCGGCATTTTTGCGGCAGTTCTCCGCCTCGGCCCCTGTAGAAACGATCCCCTTTGCTTTCCGCCCTAAAAACGATATCCACCTTGACCAGGTGCCAGCTGTGCTGAGCCCTGCCCCAGACTGCGCGCAAACCACACTTATTCGCGCTCGGACGAGCTGGCGATTTCCCTCTCACTCATAGTTGCAGAAGGGTAAGCAATGCATCTTACTCCCCTCACCTTTAAGCCAGAACCCGGAACCCTTTCACCTAGCGCAATCGGGAAAGTAGTTTGAGAGTGAGTCATGATAAAAAAAACTATTAGAGATTAGCACCCTACAACAACCACGTACGTGAAAAGAAGTAATTCTACCAATTAGAATAAGAACTGCAGTAGGGGATTTTTTCGCGCCATTTCAAGGCGTCTACAATAGATACGGAACAAAAAATAACATGGGAAAATAAAAATAGCTTGAAAATATTACGTTGGTCCGAAAATTTTGTCGGTTTTTTCAGACAACTAGACCACGCACATTGAAGACCTGAATGAGTTTCAATATGCATTCGATGCAGCTTCTCCATCTCTTTCCGTTTACAGATTGCTGTGTGTCATCTCTTTCCGTACAGATTGCTGTGTGAGTTTCATGGAGACTTGCGGGGCAACCTAATATAAACACTCCAAAAAGGAATACAATCAAAAACATTTGAAATCTTCTCTCGAGAACTCACGGTTGATGTTTGCTGCCTCTTTCTTCCATGTGTTTCGGAATAAAATTCTAAACATATTTATTTTCAAACCTTAAGACTTTTTGAGGTTGTCACGCTTGAGACTGGATAGATAGACATCTTTGCTAGTAAGAGATGCAAGAAAAAAACCAACTAGTGTAAGGGGTACGATACACGAGTTGTCGATGCTTATAAAAACCGTGATTATGCAGTGATTACCGAATTTGATAGATGATTATTAATAAAATTACGCTTCATAGAAGGAAAGAAGATTGAATGCGTTTTTTGTCAGCCAGAAGCGAATCAACAGAAATATCAGTTAGATCAATCCCTCATCTCTTACAAGGAAAGGAAGGTTGGTCGAAGTGGCCTTTTGAAATGGGATGTACAATGCCTTGTAGAGCTTGGAACGTTGATTCCAAACTACCTTTGCTATCTGCTGCCGGCTTCTGGGCGAGGAGTTATGAAGGTTTTTGTGAGTAAAAATCTGAATGCAAGATGGGCATCAATCGCAACATTTTTTATAGAGCTTAATTGGTAGTCAGGTCACTCGATGCAACAAAAATTCTTGATTCAAATATACCAATTCGCTGCTGCCTCATTTGAACACTGGGAAAAGGTTACGACTGATTTTACCCTATTTTTGCATTCAGATCTTTACTCACAAAAACCTTCTTAACTTCTCCCCCAGAAGCCCGCAGCAGATAACAAAGGTAGATTTGGAATAAGCGTTCCAGGCTCTACACTCTACACGGCAGTATACATCTCATTTCAAAAGGCCACTTCAACCAACCTTCCCTTGTTATAGCTACTAAAATTTAGGAAATAGCCGACGGCTTTCGAATCCTACATAGTTTGTTGGGGCCTTTCGCTTCCTATGGCCGTATTCATCAACAAACCTTGAGGGTTGAACTAACCCTCTAGGGTTAGTTTAACTAACCCTAGAGGGTTAGTTTAACCCTGAAAACCGATTAACTCGTACTCATGAAACACAGGGTAGGCTTAACCCTGAGGGTTAAATCTACCCTTGAGGGTAAACCTTACCCCGAAAGCGATTAACCCGTATTCATCAACGAATCGTGAGGGCTAAACTTACTAATTCATCAGGGTTAATTTAACCCTAGCTTAGAGCAAGGTTAACTCTACCCTAACACTTCATACAAACATTTCTCGCATCTAATAGTTTTATGGAATAGGATCAACGCGTATTGTAGTATTCAGTATTAGTTGTTGTTATAGTATTTAGTTTCGACTTCGTTTAATGTCCAAATTCGAAGTACATGAAACACTGACTTCGCGAGAAAAAGGATTCTAGCTTTGGTGACAAATGAATGCGACAAGGAAAAATGGTTGCGCATTCCACTCTGACAAGTGCCAAAAAAGAAGAACCCCTTTATGATAACGCGCATTGACCCCTAAAAGAGCATAAGCCCGGTATAAAACGAACTGCGCAAAAGTAGAACTTACACGGCACAATTGCACACATGAGAATAAATTCACGCTATAAGATTGGATGCGGCACAAATATGCTAGAGATGTATTATAAAAAAGTGTTACAAGCTTATTCGTTGATTATACTACTATAATAGTGAAAGAATAGAAGTATAAAGTGAATTTGGCACATACTTAGGCATTCTGTGATGTGAGTTTGCACAGTGCACGCGTAACTGACGCCTTAACCATCCAGGGTTAGTTTAACCCTCAGGGTTCGTTGATGAATATGGCCACAGGTTCGTTGACCGATACGGGTGGATCGCGTTCCGTGGTAAACCCTACCCTATGGTTGATGAATACGGCCAATGAACCCTGGGGGTTAAACTAACCCTGGAGGGTGAGTTTAACCCTCAGGGTTCGTTGATGAATACGGCCACTGGCTTCAAAAATCCTCTGGTGACGCAGAGAAGCCCATACATTGAAGGAGGAGGTGGAGCAAGCTAAGAGTATTAGGTTGATGCAAAAATAATGGCCGTAGCATACGCTACCACAGCATGTGATCATAGAAAATTAAGAATGAGGTACCATTCAATAGAGCGAAGCAAGCTCTACAAGGTGCCTACCAAGAAACTATCCAAACATCTGGTCTACGTAAAGTTTGATGCCAAAATCTGTGAGCATTTGGCCAGCTCAAAAATCGGATCTTTGCCCGGAGATATCCTACAAGGCTCCCAATTGGTCATCACATAGTAGAAACGTAGTAACGTTCATTTATGCACTTGCCGTAATTTTCCCTCCCTTGATTTGAGAAAAAACGAAAATCAAAAATCGGCGAACCGCTTTCAACTCCGCCCCTTTCCTACAATTCAGGTGCCGTATACCACAAAGCCTCCAAAGCATGACTGTGAAATTTCGACCTGATATCTTCATTGGTTCCTAAAAAAAGTCACTTTTGGCTTTGAAAACCCATATTCTACGGCCGTTATTTTTGCATCAACCTAGTGACTATCTCCACCCCATTTTTTAAGGACCGCCAAGTATTCCCCCACAATCCACATACCATTCCAAAAATTAGGAAACAATGATTCGACGTAGACCGTCGACTTCTTCTAGCCACTAAAACGAAAGATACCACTTTATCTAAAACTATGTCCATTTTTGAGAACAGATTTTGCCCAAGTAAGATCTAGCTAACACGCTAATTATCTTTTATACTGCAGAGCAAGTCTCTGTCAATAAACATATACCATCTCTTCCTTGTAGCTACATCTTGATTGCGATAAGAGAGCAGAAAGTGAACACACTAAATCAGTTGATAAATTGACCAGATAAAATCGTTCATATTCCCCGGCCCCAAACACCCACAAAAAACTAACGGTGCTTCTCGATTCTCCATGACCTCGGCTTTCGAATGATATGTAGCTTGTTGGGGCAATTCCCTTCCATGGCTCACTTACTCCCTTCACCCTACAAAATGAGCAGAGATCTCCTTCACCTAGAAAAGGCCCGGCTCCCCCTATCGCACCGCTGCTCTCACCCCGGCATACCGCAATGTGACCATAGAGGCCCCGACTTTACGTCTCCAACCTTGGTAAGAACCGTTCTAATCGTTCAATTTCAAAATGAGAAGGCTTTGGAATGCTGGGACGCACTATTTTCGCGATTTTTAGGGTGAATTTTTGAAAAAGAACTTTAACGGCGCGTGCTGGTCAATGCTCATTAACTAGAAAAAGCAGAAAAAAAGCCCAAATCTAATACGCTACTTCCGAATTCCAGCTATTGATCTTCTATACACTTTACGATATGATGACAAAACTTTCAGCGCCCGGAAACACCTTTTTTGCAGAGTACAAATCCCCTCTGGCAATGGCTGACAAAACCACGCGATTTTCGAAATCAGCGCGTCGTACCTCACTAAGCCGGATTATTTTAGATTGAAGATTTCCTCTAATGTTGAATCTATCAGATTTGGGGAATCAATATCTAAAAAAATCGTGTTCAAATACAATCACCCGTTGAGAGGAATGTAAAGCAAGTCATCACTCACAAGCAAAGGGTAGACATTGGTATCACTTGGCAGTACGAATTCTCGGCAGTCCTTGAAACTGCCGTAGTCGATCTTCTGAGATTCAGCTTAGAGTTTTAGCAGCTCCGGAACTAATACAAAGCCTTACTTCTAAAAAGAGATTTTCCTTCTCTTGGAACGCTTCGATAGCCTTGATGAGATTCTCCGTCAAAGGTTTAGCCTGCTCTAGAAGTGCTACAGTGTCGTCTATGCGTTTTCGAAGTGAATCACTGCAGACAAACTTGAACGCGCATCCTGTGACCGGTGTTGGGCCTAAAAGATAGGGTTTTCCTAAGCACCATGTATTATTTAAATCACATCAAGTCGCTTTCATTTCGTTCGCTAAAACTTCTGTCGAAAGTTTTCTGCCATACTTACAGATGATTGTTCATCGACAATGTCGTATTTAGGTACCAAACCTTGATAGGTATCTAACATCACAAGTTTCCACGTCATTTAAGACAGATTTACGGGTTCAAAGGCAGTGGTTCGGGAAAATCGCGAGTGGGGGATTTCCACTACTACGGCCTTCTGAACCAGCTGAGTCAGGTACTGTGCTTGAAAAGTCAATAAAGTGCTTTTTTGGCGTTTCCGGACCTTGGAGATTGCTGGAGGGGCGGGGCGAGGGATTACCGTCAACTGTATCGTATTGATTGCCTGAACTGATCAGCCAATTCCCGCCGAAATAGGTGAATTACAGTATCCTGCAGTCATTTGCTGGTTACGACGGAAATCCCTCGCCCCGCCTCTCCAGCAATCTGCAAGGCCGGTAAACTCCACAAAAAACACCTTTTTGACAATTCAAGCACAGTACTTGACTCAGTTGGTCCAGAAGGCCATGTGATGGTGAAAAGCCCCCAGTCGCGATTTTCCCGAGCCACTGCCATTCCCCAGTGAGAAAGGTAAAAATTCAAGGATTGCAGGTGCGCTTTCTCCTTGAAGAGACTATTAAAAAATAGAACACAAACACAGATGCTTCATTCAAGAGTCTGCTTATGGACTACGCGCAGTACAAAACCAGATTGTACTGACACCATAAGGAAATCACACATTTGGATCTTACAAGGGAGCGGTCCCAACTTGAGGTGGCCAACTGAGCCCATATCATTATATGGGTTTTGATGAGCTGATTCCAAATCTACCACCGCATCTGCGATGCCATTCTTTGAATAAAAGTTATAACCGTTCAAATGACCAAATGGCAAAGATTCAGCGCCACATCCTCAAGAACTAGGGTGAGAAAAAACTTGTCTGTGTCTCCGGTAAATGTGAGCATCATCTGGAATCAGTACACCCGATACCTTGGTCGTGCACTTTTAAGTTGACTTCAAATCTCATCATGCATTCCTCCAATGAATTCACATATTTGAATTTTAAACGTGTGAAGTCACTAAATTTTTGACGCGTGATGAGCTTTAAAATCAACTTAAAAATGCATGGCTAGCAAGGTATTGAATATGCTGATACCAAGTGATGCTAACATTTACCGGAGACATAAATAGGGTTTTTTAACCACTAGTTCTTGAGGATGCGGGGCTGAATGTTCGTCAAATTTGGACTGAACGCTTATAACTTATTCCAGAGAACGCCATCGCAGATAAGGAAGTTAGATTTGAAATCAGCTCATCAAGACGCATCCAAAGATATGCGGCTCACTCCAGCTCGCCATCTTAAATTGGGATCGTTCCCTGTTTGTAGGCGCCGTCCACCCATGATTCTGCTATCTTCAGACCACCGACGTCATGGGCGGAGCTATGACACGCCGATTCTACAATCTGGAGCCACCTTCTGCATTCCAATTTCTCTTAACGCTCTTGCGCACATCAGATCGATTTGGGTGGACATTAGAATCATCGTGAACTTTAACTTTCCTTCGGAAATTCCTTTAAAACCTGCCTACCCTGCATTTCCGAATCTTCTGTAATATCACTGTGGGTACTTGTGCACCAACGCTTGACCCTGACATCGCACCTGCAGGTCTAACCATTCAAACCCCAATATGCGCCACTGCACACGACGCACCATTGTGCTTTCATACGAGGAACTTGGAGACACATTTCTTTTGAGCAAGTCTTTCTCAGCTCTTTTCCCAAGCCCGTTTCCGTCATTGTTCAAGAAGATCTGTTAGGTCCTCGAAGGAAATCCCTCCAACCAATTTAGGGGTAGTGAGATTCAAAAGCCGTATAATGAAGGAGTCCCAACCTATGCCATAGCCCAAGTCGCTGCAAAAGATAGATTTCGAAGCTAGGAAATCGTCCAGAAGGTAGAACACGTTGGCTCCGCCCATCAACGTGGGTGGCTTGAAGATAGAAAGCCCACCGGGAATGTAGATATCTAAAGTTGTCATGAATCCCTTCACTATAATTATCAGATTCTCAACATTTCGACCTACCCTGAAGCACGATTTTGATCTCCATATCTTCAGACCAACCAGATGGGCAAAGCCAACGTGGCGTTTCTACCTTCTGTAGGCGGCTTTCTCAAACGGCAGAGGCTTAGTTAAGAGTCCCTTCTTTGGATGGCATCAAAGTCTAATTGCCTTCAATTGGGTGGGCGGCTTTAACGCTCCTGCCAGAGTGTCGAAGCCACTCCAACGCTGCTCCGGCCGAGCTAGCGTCGAGCTGTCCCGGCGCTGTTCCGATCGATACGCATGCATTTCGTTCAAGGCGGGGCTAGCTGAACCCTGTGCCGGCAAGATAGAGTTTTTGACAGAGAATTTCGACCAATTATCGGTGCATTTACCTGGCTGAGAACTAAGTCAGTTAGCCCTGCCTCGAACGAAATGCACGTGTATCGAATGAAACAGCGCCGGGACAGCTCGGCGCTAGCTACTCCGGCTCTGCGCTGGCGCAGCGCTCACGTGGCTCCGGGACTCTGGCGGGAGCCTAAGTGAGCGAAAAGATGAAGGACATTCAAGATGGTACGCACAACGTTTGCAGTGTACGCAATACCACATTCAGATGTACTATTGGGATACATATTGACTAAACTGTGTGTAAGTTCCATGCGTACATAGAAGGCAAATCTTACAGAAATAAATTAATTGTCTACCCCAGCCCTTCAGTTATGTCATGCTAATATGGAAACGGCCATAGGTTGTCGGTGTTGTCGGGGTTGTCGGAGTCAGAGACAGTTTAGAGAGCGCGCGAAACGTGGAGGCTATCATAGGTCCTACAACGACCGGCAACCTCGCAACCCCGACAACACCGACAACACCGACAACCTATGGCCGTTCCCTATAGGAATTCTTGGAGGATAGATCTGTATCACGGTTCGGACATGTGATGAGGTACTACCGAAACGGAACCGACTTTTTTATTACAAGATCTGCTCGATTATGGCTTGAAGATTTCGCTAATATAATAGTTGAGTATAAGAATGACGTTCCTCTGCAAATCGTCTCGGATTTGGGTATACCAAAAAATTTCCTAAATCAACGCGAGAAAAGGATACCTTCTCTGGCATCACTGCGAAGCACAGCCATCGAAGCAATTCCAGCTCGTTCTGCTTCCACTTTCCACTCATCGAACTGTAAAAATGATTAAAACGAAGAGGTATATTGCAGGGATGTGACGTACCTGGTGCGTAAGCTCACGCAGCTCCGCTTCAACTTTGACACGATGATCGCACCATTCCGGCAACAGTGCTTTAATTGTGTGGCAGCTCTCAACGTACGAATTGAACGCTTCCATCACTAGTGTTGCGATCATAGGATCAAACTTTCGTTGTGACGACAATCACGGTGCAAGGTAAATCAAACGGCAAAAGTTTGAGATAAACTGCTTCAGATTACATCAAATGTCGTGGTATGAAGTGAAAAACGCAGATTTATTTAAATGATAGGTGTCTAGAGACAAAAAATATCTTAGAAGGAAAAACATGAAGATGGAAGTTGCGAAAGAAAAGCGCATGACAAAGGGCCCTGTTGTTTCCCTAAAACAGCTGTATACGACCAACCCGGTGACAAAGCTGCTCACAACTTCGTGTAGCTTTTCGAGCTTTTATCGAACACTAACTTCATATAGTGGTCGATCGACCTATGACCCCTGATCGCGGAATTGAGGTAGAACATCTTTCACCATAATGGTGAATCTGTTGTGAAATGCTTATACAGACTCATACAGAAAAAAATCAGCTTAAAACAAATTATGGCTGTAGATGTGCGACATCCCTCTTTCACCTAATACCCCGCAAAAAAAAGATGTTTTAACCAAAATTCTGTCGAGGCATGCTTCAGGTCTAGGTTTGGTATAGGAAGAAGGAAGAATGTGAAAGGGTAGGTTGATGGTTTATAAGAGTTATGAGATAGGTCGAGCTACGCAAATTTCATGCGAAAGATTCGGGTTGTGGTGCTCCCAAACCATGTTAAGCTGTAAACACGCATAGGTTCGGAAGTAAACATTGTGGGTCCTGCGTAGAATGTAAGTAGCGGGAGTGTTTATATGCACAATGGGATGCTGGGCTATAAGGAGCTACCATGACATTATTGTGCAAATAAGCACATCAAGACAGTATCTACACCCTAATCTAAACTTATTGGATAGTACTCTTCATCAAGATATAGAAGAAGGTAAGGAAAGAGTATGTTTATGGGTTGGGGTGGGGGGAGGGGGGGGGGGTGGGCGGAGAAGCGGTAAAAATGGGCCATTTGAGGTTGCGAAATACTTTCGCAACACAAAGCACATGACACCGGGTGCTTGTTTTCCCCAAACTTACATAAGCGACATGAATCCAAAAACATGTGTGCTTCTCAAATCAATTCTTCTGATTGTACATTTTGGATGTGAACGGCATGTTAACAGTTTCTGAAGATTATAGCAGTTAGATTCAGTACCTAGCGCTTTAAGTTCAATACTTGTTCAAGGTAGTGTGAATTTAATCTATGAGGGCAGCAGAACTATTTTGAGGAGAGCGCTTGACATTTTTCAGCCGTGTTTACTTCCCATCTTGACCATAATCATTTAACCTCTATACGGATTTCTCATGTGTATTAACAGATCCAAGCTTGTCATTTCCTCTCAACTGAATATCATCCCTCGTCAAATCAGCTTAGAGCAGTTTAGCTCACATCGAAATGTGTTTACATTGGTCACCTCTACCGTACTCTTTTCTTCTCACAATCGCGTTCACATAACTAGGTGTGGATGTATTTCCAGTAAACACCTATGCGGAGACTGCTTAACTCAAAATTACAAGCAAATCAAGCATATCAACTTATAACCTATGCAACTTGGCGAATATAGGGTGAAGGGTGTGTAGATACAAAATTCAAAATGTTAGTAGCCGTAGATCTTATTGCATTATGTAAAAGCTGGTCCCAGATTTTGTCTTAGAGGCTGTGGCTTGGAAAGATTACAATTGCGAGCTTTCCATTTCCACCTTGGCCTTCTGCATGGGCTGAGTCTAAGGTTGTTCTTTAAAAGACGGGAAAGCGCTTTTCATGGCGTTTTCCAATCTCGGATTGCTGGAGAGGATGGGTGAGCGATCGCCAAGAGAGTCGCGGTTGGCTGCCTGAGCCGAGCAGCCAATTACGGCAAAATGGGTGAAGTTACGGTATCCTGTAGCCAGTCACTGTTGCTGGCGGGAATCTCTCGCCCAGCCCCCAGCAATCTCCAAGGTCGGAAAACGCCGAAAAAGCCCTTTCTTGACTTTTCAAGCACAGTCTCGGACTCATCGGATCCAGAAGGCCAATCCTCCAGAGCCACTGCCTTCAAAACACCTTCACATAAAATAAATTCGTTGAATTTTCTTTAGGCTTTTTATACATTGAAGTTTGTGTCATACCAGGCGCAGCAATCAGTTTTCACACTTGCTTCGTCACTTCCATACCTAGTTCTTTCCTTCGGCTTATCCTCCAGTGAATCGTAATGGGTCAATCATAACCGTAGTACTGATCCATCATCATCTCTTTATATAAAGCGCAGGGGAGGGGGGGCCCATCTGACGTCACGATGCTGCGACGATGTCAACAATTCCGTCTGTCTCGAATGCACCCACCGCACCCAAACTGATGACTCATTTTTTGCTTGAGCCTATTTCTCGAGTTGTTGATCAGTGTGCCCTTTCACACAACTCTTAAAGCGGTAGAAACCATTAACTACATTTCAAACAACAGTCTCCCACGCTTTCTGAAGACGTGTTCATTCTTTATGGTATCAGACAAGTTCCACTTTCATATCAAATGTACTGCAAAAGCGACCGTAGATGCGAATTTTTCTCATTAATCCTCTCAATTTGAATAATCGCAAATTCGCTCATCTCGATTGTTTGTGTAAAATTTGCAGACTGCGAAAGCAGAAACAAAACAGGCTTTTCTTGATCACCTTGGGCTAAAGAAGGAAGTGGGATAGGCTAGAAAGGTCCCGGGGAAGTAAATCGGGAGGTCTAGTTTTGCGAAAAAAAACTATTCGCTGTCAGTAACTGCCTTTAACGTTCCAGTCGTGTATAAAGACAAGTTAGAATCAATGCTGTGGCTTCACCATCAGCTGAAGCCTTGCTAAACTCAGAAGTGTAAAGCTGTACATTTCTACCGCAGTTTTTTTGCCAGAATGTTGCGCAATCCAAAAATCGTATGAGCAAAAAGGATTTGCTTTAAATCCTGGGCACAGCTGAAAGCAGAAGCACGCCTCGATGGTAGGATTCAAGAGAAACGTTTAGTAGCCTATTGAGATGAGCTGGAAAGTGAGTGATTTTAGGCCAGTTTGGCAGAAATTTTATGGGTGTTTGACAGTTCGGCCTCTATAAAACGCGAACGGGGGTTTTGACTGTAAGATTTTTTAGTTGAAGAAAAGTTGCGCAAATTTCCAAAAAAAGCACTTTGCGAAGAGAAAGGGGTAGTTTATGAATTCAAAAAATTCTAGATTCTAAAGTCATGTCCGCTAAATAGCTTCACAAATGTAAGTTGAAATCTCTTTCTTATTTCATCTATCAGTTCAAAAATAAAAAAACTCGAAAAAGTCTGGGGGGGGGGGGAATGGAGGTTCCCATGCAAGGAATGAAACTCAACGTGGGAAGCAGGATCCTGGATGGGAATAGCAAGGGAGTGGTCAGGGCTGGGGGCACTCTATCGAGTGTGAGGTCACCTCGGCCAGATATACTTTTTGAAGTTTGTAATAGTTTGGAGCATCCGGATAGCCGCAAAATGTCGAAGGAGTGATAACTTTGTCAGGTACAGTATGTCACATTCGCAATAAGGCTGAAACCTTCGATAGAAACGCGGGCCGCAGCGCAAAGCCTTTGGATGCATTTGCCCTCTGACATCGTAGACGAAGAAAATGAATAGGGAATGAGAGGTCGAGAGGTCCCAACACGACTATTTGCATCAAATCGCAGACGTGATGCTGAACCATGGCTTGGATAAAAGTGTAAGCGCGCATCTGAACGCGGCAGCTAGGAGGCATGATTCGAAGGCGATTGTGTTAGATCTGAGAAGTGTAAGAATGCGTGAAAGAGTGGTATGTGAGGGATTTCAGCTAGCATCTTTCGTGCAAAAAGGACTTGGTGGGGGAGAGGGGAAAGAAGGCAAATTGGCTAAAAGAAGAACAAGGCAAGTTTGCAAAACGCAATAATATGCGAAACTATCTACCCCTGTAGAGCATAGGAGGAAACAGTGGTGCGGATAAAACAAGTTGGGAGAGAGCAGTCAAAATTCCGTTGAGACTTTTGTTAAGAAAACTTCTGAACTTAAGAGGAGGGCAGATTCATTGACCTCGACTTCGATAGTCTCCTAGAATAAGTGTAGTGTCAAAAAATCTTACCGTATTTTGAGGAAGGAAAGGTTCTCCGCAGAACTTCGTAAGTTTTAGCTTTTAGTTTTAGTCACATTTAACTTTACACACACAGCCAGTTCAAAGCGCCGCGAAGCGGCGCCTTGAACTGGTTCTATAATAAAGAATGGCAAGGTTTTGCACTTACATGTTGACAAGTTACGGACTGAGGCGAGTGATTGCGGAGGGTGCGGAGGGAACAGATTTACCAACAAGGCTAGCGTTTTCATAGGGGGTGAGCATCGTTCCTCCTCGAGGAATGTTTTCGAAAAGGGTGTGACTACTGAGTGCAAAAATGCTATAGTATGGAAAGGTGCCGACACTCTCGTAAGGTTGCTAACAGTACCCCCCCCCCTTCTTTCGCAAGATTGAACCCTGCGCGTATGACTGAATTCGAACCTTGTTTTGAGTTTTTGGTATTGGAGCCCCATGCCTCTCTAGCTGTCGACATGCTGTATAGCCTCACGTTCATGTACATGCTGCAATAATTTGCTCACTTCTCATTTTTCTCTTGATGTATCCATTTCTGGTTGAATAAAAGACTAATGAGGACAGTTCTTTCGTGGTTTCGCGAAATATTGGTTTGTTACTATAGGTCTTTAAGGAGCTGGTAGGTCTCTACGTTTTTTTTCTCAAAAACGGTGCGTTGGCGTTCCATAGAGCAGATCTCCCCGCAAGCGGCTCGTAGAGCACTTTTGTAGGGATTCTCAGCTCAGTGCTCCTCATAGTAGTTATTTCTCAGGACACCGGTCTGCGAGAGGTCCATAGGGCATACAAATTGTAATTGACGGTCGCGGTTTGGAGGCGGCCCGTAGGGCGATTCTTTCTTAAATATGGGTTTTAAGGGGCTGGCAGCCCTTTCTGAAAACATCAGTTTCTTATAGGGCAACTAGCTGGCTTACCCGGCTCCGCCGTATGTTCCGAATAGAAAATTCCATTTTTTAACCGATCCTGACCAAACTTGGCACACATACACTTTGGGCCCCGGCGGGTGTCACAGTCCAC